CAAAAGCGCGCGCGAAAACTGTGTTCGGCCACGTTAAGGGTCGTGGATCCGTTATAAAGTTGCTTCAAAGAAGAACTGTACACAGACTAGACTCTCTAAATGTTACTGAGAAACGAACCTTAACACGAGTAAGGCTTGGGAAGCTTTTCGTTCTGTAGCAATTGTTAATGAACCAAGTTTTCTCAAGTCCAGGAAACGTTTAAAATTAGAGACGAGACGGGAATGTGATCTTACTTAAGATGCTCAACGTGATTAGAATCAATATTACCAAAGTCTGTGCAGTTTGTCTCTCTTGCAGAACTTTACAGACTTATTCACGAGAGTGTTAAACACTATATGTCATATGATACATATTCAATAGCAATATATAATCAATTCTTGCCAACCTGTTCAACAAAGCATCGGTGAGTCAGTTGCTAATCTATTGTATATAATACGAGAAAAAGCTGCGTGGAAGAATATAAATGTACGTTTATTACAATTATATAATAATTAAATGAATGTGCGCGCTCTGATTGGTCAATCAGCTTTGGTTTATTGTGCCAGTAAACTCATAGAAATTTCGCGTGTCTTCTGAATTATTATATTAAAGCAATAAAACACAAGTTTTTATGGTTTAGAGGCATGATAAGCCACTTAGGATTTTGGAAGAACACTCGAAGAATTCGTGAATCACTCACCTGCAGCTCGTGAATTACGAATTCTTCTCGTGTTCTTCCAAAATCCCGCGTGGTTTATCAGCATATAAACCATAAAAACTTGTGGTCTATTGCTTAACTGGACGATAATAAAGTTTTCTATAAAAAATAAACTATATTCTCTTTATCTCTGAAATATAACATTCTAGGTCTTCTTGTAACACAAAACATTCACCACTAACAGGACTGCATCATTCAAAACTGTCATAACCAAAATATTGGGGTCTTCAAATTATCGTAATAACGGAGTGAATGTTTTGTTCATTTTTGGTGAGGACCACAGCTCTTCGTTACTAATAGAAAATCAAGCCGGCTCCACACGCTATGTTCATAGCATCAGGGGAATGGACCTATTCGGCGATACGGCGGCCATTTTGATTCTCTTGATTCAAATTGCTATCATGGGATGCTCAAGGGCCAGTTTAGTCTGTAACAGCTATTTGAAACGACAGAATTCAAAATGGCCATCGTATCGCCGAAAACGTCCATTGCTATATCGAAGGTTGCATAATTCACTTCTAAGAGACCCGGCGATTTCTGGCCAATGAAAACCTTGGCCTGGACTTCAATATGCCCACTGATTTATTAGACTCATTTGATGAGTGTTCGTAACCAATTGATATGTTGATATTTTGTTGTAGTTGTTGTTCCCTTGACGATACAATGATTTTTCGTCGCTGCACTCGTCAGAAATTAACTGCCATTCAAATGGCCTAACTGATGAACCAGGCCCTCTCAGCTTGGGTACCAAGCTTTAAGATTAGAGACTTGAATGAAACTAGCCGCTGACCCGTTCGAACTGCCGCAGGTAAGACTCTACAAGCTGAAGTAACCGCCAATCATCCGTTGCCACGGAGACCACAGTTGATTCATTTAGAGGAGTGAATTTTAGCAGCAGATGTTGATGTGGTGGTAAGAATATCCCGAGTTGGACTACGTCATCTAAAAGAGCACATGTAATTGATTAAAAACTCAGTAGAGAAAGTGGAGGCGTCAAGATAGGGAGGAAAGAGAGAGGGAGGGACGAAACAGGGGGAGAGGAATGAAGGAAGGAGGTTGAGAGAAAGGTAAGGAGGGAGGTAAGAAGGGAGGGAGAGACGGAGAAAGGATGACGGAAAGAATGGAACGAAGGAAGTAAAGAAGGGGCGAAGAAAGGAAACAGCCAGAGAAGGTGGGAGGAAAGGAATGAAAGTGAGAAAGAAAGAAAGAGAGGGAGGAATTGGGGAAGGGAGAAATGGAGGGAGGTGGGGTCAACTCTTACAAGCTGTTTTAGTCCTTAGTCGTCCTTACCAGAAGCGTTCATAACAAAAGGAAGCAGGCGCTCTTCTAGGATACTTCTCATGAGGCTCCACTCAACTGAAAGGCAGACTATGGATTCAGCACCAGTACCCCCCGGGTTTCCACTGCAAAAATAAATAAATAAATAAATAAATAAATAAATATATAACTATATAAATAAATAAATAGATAAATAAATAAATAAACAAACAAACAAACTACATTGGCATTTAACCACATAAATAAGATACGAAAAAAAAAAAAAAAAAAAAA